CCCCCACCCCACCCCACCCCTTCACATCCAGCAATCACGCACACAGCTGGTCTGTGTAACCACATCATCAAACAACATATGGAGAGATCTAGAACTGGAAGGGACCGTGAGAGGTCATCGAGTCCCATCCCCAGCGCTCACAGCAGGACCAAGCACCATCCCTGACAAGATTTGCCCTAGAGTCCTAAATGGCCCCTCAAGGACTGAACTCTCAACCCTGGGTTTAGCAGGCCCAATGCTCACACCATTGAGCTATCCCATCCCTCCCCCCACTTCCCCAATTTGTTACCATTATGCAAAACTATACTGCAACCTCTGCAGGGCAGGAGTTCTCTGTCTGTGTGTGGGGGTTTGTACATGGCCAGCACAATACGAGGCAGGTCCCTGAGCACAACTGTGATTAAAGATCATGAAAATATCAACAAATGCCAAGGGAAGTCACGTCTGCTTTGAGGAAAGGCCTAAGGCTAAGAACTGCTTACTCAGCACTACAGAGTTTCTGCCAGGCCTCGTGGTATCGAACGGGATCTTCTTGTAGAGTTCCTGGTTCCAAGTCTGCAGAATCGATATACTGGGAAGAAATGCAGGAATAATTATAGTGAGAGTCTAGCACAAGACCAGACACCAAATCCTGCTGTTTAGTTTTCATTCAATCTACATGCATGAGACTCCCTCTTGCCAACACAGGTGTGTTGCTTGTACATGTACTACTGGCTTACTTGGTGTGACTGTCCACCTGACAGGCAAGATAGCTTCTTGCTCAATCGCTACAGACCTCAACTCATGCTTTCTGGAGATCCTCTACCCACTGAGCCGTTTGGATGGTGACTGACAGGGCCAGTGTGGTAAGGAAGGCTGAAGACCACTGGCTGTAGATTGCATGCAGCATGCAACAGTCTCCTTACGTGTGCACATTCACCCTGCTCCCTGAGCGCGGCAGGGGTCAGGAAAGACCATTCGACTGCACAGGGTGGCACATATGGAAAAGGGGCAGAGTCCAAGTTCGGCAGGCGCCCTTCTCCTTAGCATCGCCCGACTTTTCTCTTCTCTTGAATAGCTCTTCAGGCCCCCATGTAATGCAGGGATCCCCATGGTGCTGGGACTCTCGCTCCCATAGCGAACTACTCTGGTTCTAAAGCAGAGGAGCCCCCAATGACAGACTGTTACCAGCAAACCCCTCGATCATTAGAACAGGTAGTGCCAGGGGCGGCCCAACGCTGCAATTCAGGGAGTGCCAGTGCACAAGACACCTCACCAGCCCTACTGCACACAGTGCTGAGATACCCTCTTGGGCACCACTTCACATTGAGACAGGACGTGCTTTAGACACTGTTCTGTGACGTTTCAGACAAAAGGTGACAGACATTTCAAACTCCCAAGATGATCATGAAGTTCAAATGGGGCCAAAAGGCTTACAGAACCAATCACAAATCCCAGGGGAATAGTATGGCAGAGCACCACGAAGCTTCACAGTGCCACCATGTCGAGTCAGGCCATTTGCAAAGAGCTGGTTACAGGAATGGCTAGAGGGATCGGAACAACACTGGCTTCCCAAAACCTCCACCCCAGCTCCACGCCGAACAGCTGACAAACCCCACAAGTGCCCCTTGGATTGCAGTGTTGCTGGCTACCGCATTTCTGCTGACTGCTTTGCACTGTTTGCACACAAGCTGATGAAGATACAAATACCACTCCAAGAGCTTACCTTTATCTCCAGCTTGTGGTTGATGGCCAGTGCAGAATGCTCCAAAGCTTTAATGACAGAAGCATAGGAATCGGAGAACTTGGTGTATTTGCCAACAAGTGCGATGGAGCAGGTCTCTAGCAAACGGTCATACCTAGAAACACAAAACCACAATGCAGAGCTTGTTCATGGGAACAATAGGTCTGGTGGCCTGTTCAAAGTCTGTCCTAAATGGCACCTGGCTGCTTGAAAGCCTGACCCATGACCTCCTTTGAAAGTCTGGCCTTCAAACAGGCTGCTTTCTGAACATTAATCTAGGGACTTCCACTATTTCACAGAGGAAAGAAACGGTCAGCTGAGCAGCCGCAGAGAAGACTAATGCCATGGGAGGACACAGCTCTCACCTTTCTTGCCAGCTGCATTTGGTAAGTTTTCATTTTGTTTTTGATGAGCTTATTTATGCGAGGTCCAGGTTAGGTGGTATCGAGTGTATTAAATACAAGTCAGAGGAAAGCCCACTGTGTGTCTTGCAGTGTGGTCTCAGGATGTAAAATCCCGTTTAACTGGTTAAACATGTCGGTTAACTCGTTAGCCAATCAAAGGGGGGCAGGTGGAGGCATTCAGGCCAGAGCAGCCGCTGCCTGCAGGGCCCCCTGGCTAAGGCAGGTGGGGAGCTGCTCCCGCCCCCACCTGTTAACCTTAACCAGTAAGCCATACCCATTTCGCACGTCCATTCACCTCCCTACCCGGCCTCCATGCATTCCAACTCAGTCCAATCCAGTGGCTGAGGGAAGAGACTTCTAAATCCCAAGGAGTGCAGATCGAAACAGGCTGGGGGTGGAAGATGCTACCTTCTTGTCTGCAGGATCTGGAAAGCCAGAGGACTCTGGGTTCGATCCTAAGCATTCACACACACAGTGAAGTCAATGGAAGTCACAAGGACTCAGCACTTGGACACAGGGTCACTTATTGAGGTTCCAAAATATCCCTGTAAGTGCTCAACTTCAGGCAACCAGCTTTCAAAGTACTGACCCATGTTGTTGTAAAACTGGGGTGCTCAACTGCTTTTGACTTGAATCTCTCCAATCATTCCATTCAGGTGATCCAGACCTTTTGTTTCACCTTTAACAGCAACACCCAAAAGTAGTAAAGGGAATATTGAACGGTGGCCCAGCTTTAGTACAATGCTGCAGGAAAGTCACCACCAGTCACCTGATCCATAGTGGTGTTATGGGTACCACTTTGCTTTGCCTTTGTACCCATATTTATATTGCACGGTAATTTAGTTCTCACCATCGAGGTGATCAGACCATATTAGAATTCTACAGCTCCTGAAGTGCTCAAGGGATCTCTGAGCCATTAGCAATCATCTTTAAGAAACCAGGTAGGACAGACGGGAAAAGGGCAAACGTAGGGCCTATCTATGCAAATGGGAACACAGACAACACAGTGAATTTCAGTCATCTTAAGTTCAAAACCCAGAAAGATAATGGAGCAAATCATCAATCTGAAAGCACCTAGAGTAAGGGGATAAATAACTTTCAACACAGATTTGTCAAGAAGAAATCATATCAAATCAACCTTGTGTAATTCTTTGACAGGGTAGCAAGCCAGGTGGCTAGGGAGAAGCAATAGATGTGATACAGCTCAACTTTAAGGTTTTTGCTATTCCTTCACATGGCCTTTTCATAAGCCAACTAGGGAAACAGCCTAGATCAGCAGCTCCCAACCTTTTCCAGATGGGGACCCATTTTGACAATTCAGGAAGACTTGGTGACCCAGGGCAATTCAAAAACGGGAGGAGGAAGGGGGACACAGCCACCTGGCGACCCTTTTGAAATGTAATGGCGACCCATATTTGGGTCGCGATCCATAGGTTGGGCAACCCTGGCCTATATGAACCTACTATAAGGTGGGTGCCCCACTGCTGGAAAACCATATAGTAAACCATTGGTAAGTACTCTCTCAATCAGTCCGAAAGGGCGTATCAGCTGGGGTCCCACAGGGATCTGTCTCAGGTCCAGTTCTATTCAGTATCTTCAATGATTTCGATACTGGCAGAGTGTGCTTATGAAGTCTGCAGATGATGCCAAACTGGGAGGGCACTGCAAATGCTTTGGAGAATAGGGTTAGAATTCAATAGGATATTGAGAAACGGGAGAAACAGTTTGAAATCAATTGAATGAAATTCAATATGGACAAACGTAAAGTATTCCACTTCGAAAGGAAAAATCAACTGTGCACATGCAAAATGGGAAAGGAGTAATGCAGAAGAGGATCTGGGAGTTATAGTGGATCCCAAACTAAATACCACTCGTCAGTTTACTGCTGCAGCAAATAAAGCAAATTTTGGGATGTATAAGCAAGAGTGTTACACAAGGAGAAATTCTTCCGCTAACTCGGCATCAATATGGTCTCAACTGGAGTACAGGGTTCAGTTCTGGCACCGCGCTTTGGGCATGGCATGAACAAGTTGGACAAAGGTCAGAAGAGAGTAACAAAAATTACTAAAGGTCTAGAAAACATGAGCTACAAAGAAATACTGAAAAAAACCTGGGTTTGTTTAGTCTGGAGAAGAATGAGGAGAGAACTGATAACAGTCTTCAGTACTTCAAAGGTATTTTCAAGAGGAGGGTGATAAGCTGTTCTCCTTGTCCAGACGTAAATTGCAGCAAGAGATTTAAGTTAAGAAAAAATTCTGCAACTGTCACAGATACACTAGACCAGCTTGTGGAATCTGTTACTGGAGGTTTTAAAGTACAAATCAGAGAAACACCAGTCAGCATGGTTTAAACAACACTTGGTCCTGCTCAGTACTGGAGACTTGACTAGAAGACCCTTCAAAGTTCCTTCCAGTCCTGCATTTTTACGATTACCCTCGACCACCACACTAGAAGCTGCTAAGAAAATTTGAGATAAGCTAGTGGAGAAAAATAGCTGCTCTAACAAAGTAGTTTTGCATGGTCACTCGTTTCTCACCCAGACACATGCAAAACTAATTGTGTCAGTAGCCTCTGCTAGCTGCAGTGAAGCAGAGATGAGTCTGTAGGATAAAGAGTTATTAATTTAGAAGTTTCTGGGACTTCCCATTTTCTTATACCCCACAGAACATACATTTGAAAGTTTTGGTACATGCCTGAATGTTGACTTAAGCCTGACCATTTCCCTAATAGTGGGGTGCTGTTACCCTGCTGTGCACAGATGTTCTAATGTGCGCCAGGGATTCCAAGACAGAAGACACATCAAGAGACAGCTGCTTTACTGGGTTGGAAGTGAAATAAAGAAATGATGTTGTAGCTAAAATGCCTTGGATGACTCCTAAACCTGCATCCATAAGTTCTAGTAAGGCTGGCATGTTGTGAATAAAAAGGAAAAACCCTAAAGCTTTTCTTTCCATTATCTTAGACATGTTTTGAAGTAATACCAGGTGACAGGCAAAAGATACAGTTCTAAGGAACACACTAAATAAAGTGCCCGGCAGCCTCTCCCCCCCCCCCCCCCCCCCCAGCCAGTTGGGCCCCTGGAGTTTTGGGGGAATCTGGAGCCACACAGATCCTCTGGGGAACTCCCCTGGCTGGCCACTGAAAGCCTGGGCAGAATCCAATCCCAGGCTACTCCTGATAGTGGAGCCCACCTGTCAGCCATCTCCTTCCACTTCATGAGCATCCTCCTGGGCTGCTTCTCGATGGGAAGGTCAAGCCTGCGGCGGAAGTAATCAACAACTCCCTGCTCCTCAAGCAAGAGGGGGACACGGTAGATGGAAGAGACATCATGGACACAAATGACCTATACATCAAAAGGAGGCTCATTAAAATACACCCATATGTACCAACACACGATCCTACAGGACATCAGATAGCTGGACACTCCCATTTCCTTCTGCCACCAGAAGGCAATGGCATGGTCACCCCACTCATCTACGCAAAATGAGTGAAAACAGACGCTGCATTCACACAACTTGTAAGCACATTCTTCCTAGATGAAAGGTCTAGTCAAAGGAGTGAGGGTCCGTCTAAGGCTCTTCAAACAGTGCTACTAATGATATGAAGGAGGAATGAGAAAATCCAGCTCCCACAGGATAGCAGAAATCTCAAAATGCTGTAAGATCAACCATGTAAAACAGCAGCTCCGAGCATCCCATTCCAACTCTGAAAATCCTGCTTCTGCCTGGATTCAAATGGAAGCATTCCAGTGCGATTATGGTTCAAAAGGAGAGTATGTGGAAAAAATGGCACCTACTTAGTCACGCTGCTGACAATTCTGTATCTTTTACTTCTTTCTGCCCTGCAGCTAGATTTTATTCTGGTTTACACAGCAACAGAATTTTTAGCCAAGATTCAACTACAGAACTGGTGACAACAGACGAACCAATACGACAGTTAGCGTGACTTTGCAGTGCTAGAGTTTTGAAAACGGTTTTTAAACTGAACGACCTTAATCTAAAATAACAGACAAATATGGTGCCCCGTGAGGATTTCATCTAAGTGATATTTCACAGACTAAATGAGCTTATGGTACTAACCTTTGGTCTACAAAAGACTTTTTGTTCTACATCCATAAATGGTTCATACCTAATGGTTTATCTACTGACACATCATGACTGTCTATAATGAAGGCTAAGATGTCATGGAAATTGTTGAAGTCACAGAATCTGTGACTTGCAGCAACCTCTGTGACACTGGGACCACTCAACTGACCTCCATGGGGGACCCTCCTGCACCTGCGGGTGGCAAGACCCCCCCATAACTGACCAGCTGCTGCCACCAACCGTGACCCTGAGCTGCTCAGCTGCCGTGAGCAATCAGGCCCCACCTCTCATGGCTTGAGCTTCTCAGGGCAACAAACAGACCCCTGCATCTCCCAGTCACTGAAGGGCGTGATGGTGAGAGGGGCACAGGATGCTGGATTCGTCCCTACCCCTTTTGTCAGAGGTGTTTTTAGTAAATGTGATTTTATTTAGAATCCATGACCCATCCGTGACTGACTAAAAATACCCATCAAAACAGTAGCTTTACTTGTTATTTAACAACGTGTTTCTTGTACATGAAAGACATCGCACTCTGGCGTGTGTAATAAACGTGTGGCGGATAAAATTACATTTTCCTGAATAATCTTTTCATGCAATCTGTTGCTAACGAGACCAGGCAGATATAAGCAATGCCCAAGTCTGGCCATCAGACAGCATATTTGTACAAGGGGCGGTGTGCAAAACACACATTCACAAATCCCATTACTCAAGGTAGCACAAATACCTTTTGAGCTCTTAACACTGCTTTCAGAAGCCAAAGCCTTTTCTCAATGCAGAAGGAATTTAGAAGGGCAAGTGGTCTCAAGGACAGCCATTGGGAAATAAGTCAGATTGCATGGATTTCTCTAAGCCTTTGAGAATACTTAATTGTACCTAGAGTGTGTCTGCCTATTCAGCCACGTATCAGGCCTACCCAGAAAGGAATGCACAAATGTGTGTGACAGACACGGATTTAAGAACTAGAGGGAAGACAAACATGTAGATGTATGTGTAGTCTATTAGAAATATATAGCTGACACAGAGGAGCTCCAGGCACTAAATAAAATGCTGCCATCTGCATCTGACAAATGGGGGAAATACTAGTTACCGGGAAGGGAGAAAGCACAGCACCATTTACCTGCTCTGGTTCTACATGACAGAACATTGAGATCTTCTCCTTTACGGAAGTGTCCAGGGGAGTAGAGCATCTGCACACAACCTAGCAGAGAAAGCAGCAGTATGAAGTCTCTGAAGCAGAACTGCAGTACTCGGACACCAATGAGTCACTAAAAACAAGTTCTATGCCAAGTTATTTGTCAATCTCGTTTATTACTGCTATCGGAGATGTGAAAGGTTAACTGGTAATGGGTGATGCTTACCAGTTCTCCTTAACTAGTGGGAGCTGAAGCAACTCCCTGCCCACCCCAGTCCCACAGGGCCCAGCATGAACAGGGGCTGCCCTGGGCAGCTGGAGTAGCCCGTCTGCAGTGAGCCAGGGTGCGTCACAGGCAGGAGCTGCTCTGGCCAAGCTGGAGTAGCCCCTACCAGCTATGGGGGAAGGGGGAGGAGGGCCGCTCCACGCTGGCTGGGGTGGGGCATCCTGCACGCCCCCCCCCTTTGAATCAGCTAACCGTTTAACGAGATGATGTTTAACCAGCTAACCAATTAAATGGGATTTTACATCCCTAGTTGCTACATCACCATTGGTACATAGCAGCATCCCATCATGCCAGTCCCAGTCCACATCGGGAAAGGCTGCTGAAAGGTGCCAGCCCCACGCTTACCAAAGGAAGGGAAGAGAGAAACACTTACCAAGTCTGGCGAGAGACCAAGTCCTCTGAGTTCACGAACACTGTTCTGGGTAGGTTTCGTCTTCTGCTCTCCTGTAGAACTTGGCTAGTAGTGAAAGATGAACACATGAGGGTACTGACATGCAGATGAGTTCAACTGTCATTCAAGCCCTCAGGCCCCATGTATCAAGTTTTTAACTATTGGTAAGTAACCCTACACTTGAGACACCTTCACTTCACTGCCATAGACTCTGAGGGTATGTCTACACTACAAAGTTAATTCGAACTAACGGACGTTGGTTCAAATTAACTTTGATAGGCGCTACACTAGCAAACCGCTAGTTTGAACTTAATTCGAACTAGCGGAGCGCTTAATTCGAACTAGGCAAACCTCATTCTACGAGGACTAACGCCTAGTTCGAATTAACTAGTTCGAATTAAGGGTTGGGTAGCCACTTAATTCGAACTAGTGGGAGGCTAGCCCGCCCCAGCTTTCCCTGGTGGCCACTCTGGGCACCACCAGGGAAACTCGTCTGCCCCCCTCCCGGCCCCGGAGCCCTTAAAGGGTTGGCTACGGTGCCTGTGCAAAGTGCAAGCCTGCCAGCACCCAGCCAGCAGACCCTGCACCTGGCACGGCACAGAGTCACCCACCTGATGTCCCCCAGCCCACCCCCTCTTCCCGGGACCAGGCTGGCGGCTCCTGGGAGCTTG